AACTCCAACTCCAACTTCAGGGTTGGCCCCAGATGAAGACTAAGACTCAGGAGAGGTTCTACATCTTGCTCAGGTTGGTGCGTGCAGCTAGCGAGTAGTCAGCAGGGGTTTGAGCTGGACTGTCTTTTGCGGGTAAAGGGTGCCTCTTCTATTTTACTTTGCCTTCTCTGTTCTCTTCAGGGCCCTGGAAACAACAGTGCATGGCTCTTTCACTATCACTGAATAAAATCAACTTTGTATTCCAGAGGTGAAGCCCGTGTTGGCACATAAAGTTAAAGGCATTTTCCAACATACTATTCCACTTATATTTTGGAAGATACTCTGTTTAGGATTTACAGCCTCTTAGCAGCTCTTACAGAAACCAGAAGGGAGAGAGCACTGAGTTCACTGGCTGAAGGAAGGTTGGAGTATATGGATTTTTCTGAAGTGACCCACAAGCTGCCTTCTCCGTGCTAAAAATATTATAATAATGTTAACACCTAATGTTTTTACAGTGCTTTACAGCTTACCTACCCACACTTGGCGCAGAGTATCTCTCTCCAAAATCACAGCCATGTGGGAGATGGCTAATTTAAGTGCACACTCTCAGGTAGGTTGTTGAAGTCAAATTTCAGCTTACATTTCAACTGGTGTTCTCTCTTCCTATGGAAGCCTTGTAGGGTTCCATAGCAGTACTGGCTGCAGGGGCTTAGCACTAGGTTGTTACTCTGATGTCCAGGAGGTTTAATTGTCTGTTGTAGCTATGTTACTGACTTTGCTGACAACTAGTTTTTGTTTTAGGCTGGGTGAAAGATAGAACTTTGTAGTGTGTACTGACTGACTTGAGGCTGGTCTGTTTGTACAGCAGCAATATGATGGTTTAACAAGTATCATGCCAAAGCCTGGAGATTAAGGTGGTGCTGTGGCCCCTGGATTTTCAGGGTATTTCTCATCATAGCTCAAAGCACTTAATATATCTTAATGTTCAAGTGCAGGAGGCTTGCTTGACTTGGCTTCTCTAGTCTTGGCACATCAGAAAGTGATGGGTCCAGGGAATACCTATTGTTACTGGCCTGAAATGTTTTCTCTCGTAAAAGTATTCCTGTGAATTACCTTTAACAAAAGAAATAAAGGATGTCCTTCAGGTTTAGAATGCCTCTCGGCCTCTTTTCAGAAAAAAGGACTTTCACTAAAAGGCAGACAGTTGTGTTTTGTACTGGGGACATTGATAGAAGTGCCAGAATGCACTGATAAAAAGAAGGTGACAGCTGAATCATAATACATTTTTCCTTTTAAAAAACATTTTGCATTCAAATTTGTAGCCAGATATTCAGTAGTACTTTCAGCATTTCTCTAAGGTGGAACCACTTGAGTGTGGTGCAGAGTTAAGAGATGAGTTCTGGAGTCAGACTGTGGGTTCAAATCCAGACTCTTGCTTTGTGGCTTGGTAAACTTGGGCACATTTTTTGTGCGCTGTGCCTTAGTTTCTCCATCTATTAAGTAGAGTGATTTTAATCCCATTTCATACGATTGCTGTGTGGAGTAAATGTTTACTACATGCAAAGTGTGTAGCTCTGTGCCTAGCATGGAGAAAGATCTGTCAGCAAGATAGCTCTTTGAATTTTAGTGTTATCAAGCCTGTTTGGCTCTGCTGTTCCCCTCTTTGATTCTAAGTTTTGATTCTTTGTTACATGTTAGTACAGGAAGGATTTCAGATGGGGTGCTCTGTTTTTGGAGATCCTAACTATCCCAGGTTGTAAAGAATAGTATTTTTTAAAGAAACTTCAGACAGGAGCTTTCAGACAGGAGCTTTCAATGGGGGCATTGATAGTTGGAAGAAATATTTTTGAGAGCTTGTTGCTAGCGAAAAGTGAGGGCTTTCTAAGAGTGTGCCCCAGAATTGAAACAGCAGGAGCAAGCATGGGCCCTTAGCATGACAGTTGTCCTTGGATGCTCTGGCCTGCCATCCTTCAGCCTCCACAGGCCCTGCAGGCAGCCCCGGCAGTTCTGGGACAGCAGCTGCAGTGCTTTCTAACCCCTCTGTGAGGGCAGCTGGTTGGAAGGCCCAAGTGCACAGAGAAGACAACAGTGGCTCATTGGAGTCAGTAGGTCACATCCAGTAGGTTCCTTTCTGCACTCTGCTTCCCGTGTTGTATCAGCTGTCATAGTCCATTAAATACTTGCCATAGGACTCCCTCTGGATATCCCACAGCACCTGTCCTTTCCTGGGCTGGATGTGTGGAAATAAGATGGCCCAGCTGGTGACTAACAAGATGAAGTGTATATTGCTTGGTTTTTGTTGCTGTTGTTTTGGCTCCTTCCTCTTCTCTGAGTTGCTGAGTGCAGGGAGATGTGTACTGTTGGTGTTCATTCAGTCACTGAAGGGCTACCCAGCAGCAGCAGGCATGACCAGAAGCCTTTTAATATTGATGTGCTTTGGTATCAGATTCATGCACTTTTCTCTGTTGCCCACATCAAGATGCTATGTGTAAAATGGCCACAGGAGGAAGCACTAGATGGTAGACAATAAATAACTTGTTTTCACTGAGAATCATACAAAAGATAAAGAGAGGCAGGCAAATGCAGGTTGTCTCGTGCAGTCAATCCAGTTGAGCCACATGTATATTAGTAAGTAGGTTTGTGCTTCTCGATTTTTCTGAACCCAGTGTTTTCTTAAAGTTGGTGCCTTTAATATTCTTTGAGATTCTAACCAGTTAGTTGCTTCAGTTTTGCTTGGAAGAGACGTTAGCAGCTAGCATGTTTGCACTGAAAATGGTTGTATATAATAGGGTAAAAGTCACTGAAGTAAATTAAAAAACTGCAATCCTGATGACCCTCCTAAACTTACAAGGCAAACCCCCAAAACCTTCTCTCCTGAGGGCAGCTTTTATTAATTTCCTCTGGTGGTTTGACATTAACTGTAAATTTACTAACTTGGAATAACTGACCCATTTATAGCTACGCATTAGTTTACAAAAATATGTGGGGAGATTTATATCTGCATAACAGCTAACTTGAGGGTAGAGTGGTAGTCACTTTGCAAAAGGAGTCTCATCCATTTTTCAAGAACATGTCTAAAAAGAGCAAGGTAATCTCCCTTCTCTCATCTCCAATTTTGAGGAGAAGAAGCACGTCTAGATTATTTTTGTGAGGGTAGTTTTCCACACACCTGATTGATGGGGTTCTCTGTGGGAGAAATTTACCCCATTTGTGCAACTTCCCTGGTAAAAGCAGATCTGTGCAGCTGAATACCAGATTTGAGCATTTTTTCAGATTGCGATGAAAATACAGTCTGTAAACTGACAGCTGAAGTTTCAGGGTTTGCACTGAGATCAGACTCCAAAACACAATTGCAGGTATGGGTAGACTAGTTGAGGGGTTGGGGCAAATTGAAATGCAGTCAACTTACACTGGGTTCTGCTGACTGTCAAGATTCTCCCTTCTATCATTAAGTATTTGGGATCTGTGCACTATAAGCTGAAATGGAGAATCATCTGGTCCATTCTCCTTTGCTTTCTGAGCCTATAGGAGAGATTGTACAACTGGTATGTTTGTGGGACTGGGGTGTATTTTGAAATAGTTATTCTAAAACTATTGTGTTGTTGTTAGTTACTCAGGCTGTCCAAATTGATTACTTCTGGCTGAGATTTATATCCCATTTTATTACACCTCTGGCAGAAATTAAAAGCCCCCCCGCCCCTACACACCCTTGTCCAGCTTAATTTGTCAGTTCTATCCTTGAACATTCTGCATAGATACCTGGTTTCCCAGAACCTTTTATGAATGGGCGATGGTATATTTTTAATCTACTATGTAGGTGACAAGGATATTTTACTCTTAGAACCCAGACTATGTAGTTAATGCAAGCTTTATAGAAGCATTTTTGTCTGATCCAACATTAGGAGGAGTTTTTGGTTTTCAGGGGGAAAAAAAGACCTTGAATCGAGACCCTCCTGCCTCCTCATGGGGTAAACATCTGCCTGACCATTAGTCACTTCCTAGGAACTCGCAGGAGTTTGGTTACTCCAGGAAGTTAGGCTGCCCTCCAGTTTTTCCTTGGAGACTTTCAGATTTTCTACAAACTGTTTAGAAAGTGAGACTGAAGGAAACTCCGTGTTGTTAGGGTTTTCTTAGTAACTGAGTAAGCTTTGCTTGATGCTTAAAATACGTCACAGCAGTTCCGTTTCCATAGAATCTGAGTGCTTTCTTGATGCAGTTGGGATTGGCAGTGCTCAGGGGACCGCTGTCATCCCTGTGCATTTATTTCTCTATGAAATTCTAGCCTGATTGGGCTAGAATGGCAGGACTGGGCTTGAAAGATTATTTATTGCTGTTGTATCTCTCTCTATGTGTCCTGGGGACCATGTGAAAAAGGAACTCTGGCTTCAGACCACTGCAGAGTTTTGGCCTTTGTTCCCTCTTTCACCCAGGGAGACTGAAACGACGTGTCTATGAGCTAGCTCTGTGCTCACATCGTCTTCCCTCAACAGTCTTTGAAACTCAGAGGCAGGGATGAGACTCACCATGTTTCCCATAAGCCAGTTGAAGGCCTCATTTTCTCTTCCTAATCAAACCCATGCCTTACCAAAGTGCTTCATTTACACTTTGCCCTGTAGAACCTGAAGGGTCACTGTTAAAGCAGATTATAAATGTTTAAGAATTTTTAAACATCTAGGTACTTCGAGAATGTGCTGGAGATGTGACCTTGTGTTTTTAAGAATCTGGTGTTTGAGGACAAATTGTGTGTTCTCATGTGTATGTGTGTGCATGTGTCTGTGTCTTCAGTGTTCTACAGCATCAGTGTACTAAGTAGGTGCTCAGTAAGTACTGGAAGGAAGGAGTGTTTGCCAGGAATAGCAGGAACTCTGTAGGTAAATTGTGTGTGTGTGTTTTTTCACTTTTGATCTCTGAGAAAAACGGAATCTACCCAAACCAGTGTTTTCCAGCCTCCTTTCCTCAGCGTAGGCCCTGACAGTGGGAAGAATGAAGGCAAATGCTTTTCTCTTTCCTCTCCCACTTAGCTTGCCAGCAAAGCACGGACAGAAAAGGAGGAGAAGCTGAGCCAGGCCTATGCAATCAGCGCTGGTGTCTCCCTAGAGGGCCAGCAGCTCTTCCAGACCATACATAAGACGTGAGTTGGGGGAGCATAGTGGTCTCTTGTCTGGGGGTGGTCTGCCTGACTGTGTTGTCTGTCTGGTGGCCAAGTTTGGGCTAGTTATGTTTCTGAAAGTCACCAGGGAAGCAGGGTAGTATGTCAGTGTCCAGGGGTGCGGGTGCCTCCATACAGAAGAGTGGTGTATTCATGGGCAAATTGTCTTCTCTGGGCTTCAGTTTCTTCCTCTGTAAAACTTAGTTTTGGATTAGATTATCCCTAAGAGTCCCTTTCAGACTGGTATCCTGTAATTAGAACTAGTGATTTCTTTTATTATTTTGACCTTTGCCTTTCCCTGAAAGCTGGTGCAGTTTTATTAAGAGAAAGTTCTATTTCACCCTTTCAAATTGTATGTTGGGTGAACATAGGGAGTTAGGGAGAACAGAAGGCCACCTTATTGCCACCTCCTAAAAGACATTTTGTCACAGCAGAAGTCATTTGACTCTCCACTAGCTTCCCTAGCTGCTGAAAAACTGAAACATTTGACACTCCCCCTCCCTCCCCCACTGCCTTCTGTTACCCTATTTAACCACCTGGGTCTGGTGCACAGATGGCAGCTGGCATCAGAGCTGTTTGAGGCCATGGTGTGAGTATCTGAACATTTACAGGTATGTGAAGGAACTCTCTTAGTAATGGCAGCTGCCCTGGGTTTCCCCAAGTGTGAACTGGAATGGGTTTTCCCAGGCTGGCAAGTGCCCAGCTTTCTGATAATTGAGTACAGTTAGTTTCAGGAGCAGCTTTCATTTTGGGTGGTGGTGGGGGCAGAGTATAGACCACAGTAAGACTAGGAGTTTGTTTTCCTGTCTTTCTAGAGGTGCCATTTCCCGCTAGGCCAAAGATTGGCAAACTACAGCCAGCAGGCCACACACATATCTGCTCACTTGTTCATGTATCACTTTTGGCTGCTTTGTGGTCCAGCAGCAGATTTCAATAATCAGGATAGAGATTGTCCTTAAAATATTTGCTGTCTGACCCTTTATATAAAACTTTGCCAATCCCTGCCCTAGCTGCCACTTAAATTGAATCTAGCTGTTTATTTGTAATTCCATTTGGTTTGGACTTCTGAGGCTGCCACCAAGTTTCTATGTCTTTTGAAGTCACTAATGCTTCAGAATAATTCTCCTGGGTCCTCCTCAGAAGAAATGTGCATCAGTTTCATTTCTTTTCCTAGTCAGCAGTGCCCAGTGTTTCTTGACCACTACTCCTTATGGTTTGCTGGCATCTAATTGTTGGCTGAGTGGTGAGCCAGGAACTTGGGGTCAGCTTTCTGGAGTTACTTACTCATCAGCTAGGAGGTATGGGATGGATGCCTGCAAGAGGTAATTTTGACCTGCTGTCTTCTTCCAGCATTAAAGACTGTAAATGGCAAGAAAAAAACATCGTAGTCATGGAAGAAGTTGTTATTACACCTCCATATCAAGTGGAAAATTGTAAAGGCAAAGAGGGGAGTGCACTGAGCCATGTACGCAAAATAGTAAGTAAAGGAGCCTGAAACTTTAGAGTGAGGATTCTTTCACCCTCTCCAGCATCCGCACAGGCTGTTGTGCTGGCAGGCCGTCATCCCTGCCTCCTTTCACACAACCAGCCTGCTAGCACCCTGACTCCCTGCGCTGAGGTGCTCTGCAGCTATGGCTTGGACACTCCTGTGGGGATAGAATCTCTAGGCAGTGTGGAACAAAATAAGTGGTCAGCCCCATGTCCTCTGCAGTGTGGCTTTTGGGGATTAGCCAGAGCATGGCAATGTATGGAGCCTGAGCAGTTCCTCTTATCCCAGGCTGGATTCTTCTTAGAAAGAGCTAGTTGGTATAAATCAGTTAGTGTTGGTGTCTCTGACTCTGCATGTGTCATCTGACTTTGTAGATTGAGTTGCAGCATTTGAGAAAACAAACTGAGCATTGAGAGACCAACATCAAGGATATAGAAAGTTTAGCACTATAATTCCCTACCAGCTTTCCATTCTGCACTTGCATGAAGAGGGGAGGGAGTTTGGGTCATAATAATCTCTCTTCATACTCTAGTTTATAGATTCACCTTCTTTTAGCCAATCTTAGCTGAAGCTGCAAAGAACGTGGCTGAAGCAAAAGGCCTCTGCCTACCTTGTTGCTGGGAATGCCAGCAGACAGCAGGGGCAAAGGTGCCTGAATAGTCCATGAGCTAGACAGCCAGGATTGGGCTTTCAAAGCCTGGGGTGAACTGTATGGGAGGCCTTGGTGCCCATCTCCTTCTCTGATCTAGGCTGGCTTGTCTCTTTCAGGTTGAAAAACATTTTAGAGACGTGGAAAGCCAAAAGATACTGCAGCGTTCACAAGCCCAGCAACCACAGAAGGAGGCTGCCCTGTCATCCTGAGTCCACACACACACAGGACTCTTCCAGCATCCAGCCGAGAAAGCAACGGTGGTGGCTACAGCGGAGGCAGGCCGGGGGAGGGGAGGGATCCTATATTTCCTGTTGGCTCTTGTTAACAAAGGGTCGGCATTTCCAAATCTTAGACTTGAACAAACAAAGCACCCAACAAAAAAGAACAAGAGAATAATTTAAAAGTTGAATCATTACTTGACTAACAGACTTCGGTCCACCATGTCCTTTTCACAGCCCCCTTGTGGAACAGTCGCCTTGTTAATTTTATTTTTGAAAATTCCTTTCCTGCTCTGCCCTTTTACCTCTGACTGTCCTTTCCTAGTCTGTCCCTGCCATTCTGTTTTTATAAGTGGCAACACTTGGCCTTCTGAGTGATTGAAAGAAACTTTTACATCTTCTCTTCCAAAATAAAAGTAACAAGATGACTGTGATACTTAAGTTGAGACTAGAGCAGCAAACAAGAGGTCTCACTTTAAATTTTTCTTTTTTTTTCCTTTTTTTCTTCTTTTTTTGCACAGGGCATGGCTTGAATTAGTTTTATTTTTCTTAACTTTAAATATATATATGAAAATATATATTAAAATGTTCTCTAAATATTTTCTGCTTCTTGCAGGTCTCTTTTTACTAGATCATGGCCGTTCTTCCACCTCATCTCTCTGAAAATAAAAATGTGTTGCCCTCTCCACCACCCCATAGCCAGGCAACTGACTTGACTTAGTTCACAGCAAGAATCTCCTGCAGCACTTTGTAGAGCCAGTGTATGCAGATGGGATTTGGCTTTGAGGGGTCCTGATGGCTTTTTAGTCATTAACTCTGTGTGTTCCATTCTTACATTTGGCCAAAACCTCAGGATTCTCCCTCTGCCTTTTGTCTTACTTTATGGTACTAGAAGAACCTCCTCACCACTTTCCTATCTCGTAGATGGGAGAATCAGCTGACCTGTCTCCTGTGCCCTCTGCAAGAAGAACCATTTTGCATGGCACATCTCTGCTCTTCCTCAAGGAATAATTTTCTTTCATAAGAAACCTGGAGTCTACCTGTCCCAAGCTCTCTATAAGTCTGTATCCAGAGCCACTAGCCCAGGGGAAAGTTTGGGTGACCTCTTGTTTCTCTTCTCTTGCCAACCTCCTGCTCTTATACTCTTTCCCACCCCCTCTTAAATTTTACAAGCTTATGACAGTTTGTATATGCTCAGCTGATGGGCAAAAACCTGGAAAGAATTTCTGGACTTCAGCCCACCAGTTTGTCTGGTTTGACTAGCCTGCTGAGAGCTAAAACTGGCATCCGTTGCCCCAGTGCCTTCAGGGTGGTCCAGTGGGGCAGAGTGTGCCACCATCTGAGTATCAGGCACTGAGTGGGAAGTGGGTGATGCTCATGTGACTGGCTAGAGCTTTGGGGGTGGGGTGGGGGATAACTACTATTTTTTTGGCCATGATCTCTTTCCCCTTCCTCTTTTTTTTAATTAAATAAATGGATCAAAATTAAATAATTCAAGCCCTGCCTTCAAAATGATTTTTTTTTTTAGTATTGTTTAGCAAAAACAATAAAACCCAAATTTTTTTAACCATCACTCATGTCTCAGGTTTGAGCGCGCGCGCTTTAATCTTTACCTTTAGATTCTCTGCCTCCTACTCTACCTTCTCTCTTTCTACCCCCTGAGAACTCATGCGGAGTATACAATTTAGGAAGTGGATCCACATCTGGGAGTTGTAAGTGGAGTACGGAAGTAGAAGAGGTGAGTGTGTACATCGGACCATTTGTTCAGAACTGTGTGGAGGAGAAATGAGAAGACTGTGAGAAGTATATGCTTTCATACCCATCTACTGTTGTCAGGACTTGAAGTCAAGAGCCTTTGATTTACTGTGTATTGCAATGTAGACTTCTGGAGAAGGGAAAAGAAGAAGAGAAGAAATCTTGCAAGATCTAGAAAACCTAAGAGATGCAGAGAGATGCAGTTAAAGGAGAGAGTGTGATTGGTGGGAAATAGCCCAGGATGAAGCTCTGGGTCATGTGGTCCACATCTTCATTTCCTCTCCTTCAGTCTCTAGGTCTGTGAATAGGAGACAGTGTGTACCAGCTGATTTTGGTGGGGAGCACTTTTGACTTAAGTTTTAGCTTATTAAATGATATGGGGGAACTTTAAGCAGCTGAAGAGGTGGAGTTAATACTGTAGGAGTGACAGTAAGGCGTAGAAGAACGAACAAGGGGTTTGGAGACAAATAGTTGGGTTCAAATCCCCACATTTCCATTTCCTTATTTTGTGACTGTGGATGTATCATTTCACCTGTCCAAGCCCTAATTTTCCCAACTATAAACATGGAAACTCATACCCATCTCCTAGAATTAGTGTGAAGGATTAAGTAAGATATTTAAAATACTTAGAAGGTACTCTGTAGATATTAATATAAATGTTAACTTGGTCCTGGGATGGTTAAATCTGGAGATGAGATTGGATTAGATGATTTTCAGAGGCTCCAACTTAGTTTGAGAAGTCTTTGTTTAGATGGCATTGTGAGTGAGGCTGATGTGTAAAAGTTTGGGCAGTGGTGTGGGGATCTCAAGAGCTCTGCCCTCTCAGTGTGTCACCTCAGCTCTTCCCTGGTGTCCCTAGGAATTTCTTTAATTATAATTCAAAAATGACTTATTTTACAGAAGAAGCGTTCCACAGTCAATAAGTGACTTCTCTACCACTGCTGCCCATTGTGGCAGAGGTGGAACAAAACCTAGGGCTTTACCCGCTCATGGGCAATACTGCTCTGACTTCCCAAACCAAAGGCCTGTGTATTGCTTACTTGTTTGCCAGGTTTAGATGGAACACAGGAGAGTGGCAGGAATTAATCCCCTAGGTTGACAACCCAGTTACCTTCCCACTGCCGCGTACATACCTTTGGGTGTACTGCTATTTAGAGCATCCAGTTAGTATGGTACCAACAGTGTTACCACAGTGAGTTGATAATGGATTCAGTGCTGTGTAAGTCTGAGGAGTTCATTGCTGATTTCTGTTCGGTGCTTTGAAGATTGCTCAAGCACTTCAGTGTTTGTTCAGGGACTCTAGCTGGGGAACCACTGATTGTGGTGAAGGCTCCTTGACAGTTTTGAAGCTAAGAATGTGTGTGAAAATCTGTTCTTCCATAAGACATATTGGTAAAAAGATACAGAGGGCTTTCAGTCATACACAGAGATGGAATCTACTGTCCTGTTGATGTGGAGGAAACAGGTGAGACTGTGTGATACTAGCAGCTGCAGTGTACAGGGTGAGGAAGGGGGACAGCGATAGGGGCAAGAATTTGGGAGCTGGAACCAGCCTGTTTACATGGTGAATTTGTTTTCTCGTCACTGTTGGAGGTCACTGGTGCCAGAGAATTCTCCTTTAAGAAAGTTAAACCATCAGCATGTACTGCCTAAACTTCAGGGGTCTAACGTAACAGGATGAACGTACCTTACAGGTGAGAAAGGGATGTTTTGGGGCTGCCACCCACTGGTGATTGACTGCTGCTGGGTAATAAAGCTATAAAACGAGTTCTTTTATAAAAGCCTTATATGGCTTATTACAGGAAAACTAGAAAATAAGGTAAACAGTTTCCATCTGCCACCCCCCAAATCATTGTTAATACCTTTTGTATCTTGTATATTCTAAGACACTTCTCCCTGCTCCTTGCATTTCTGAAAATGCAGTGTACTTAATATCAAAAGAAACCTGCTAACTGGTCCCTTCATCCTCACCCTCAAAGTGTACTCCATAATTGTTGGCATCTTGAAATTGTTATATATGAAAGGTACTGGGCTAGGTGATCTCTAATATTGCTTCCAAACTTCATAGTCTGTTCTTCCTTTATCTTCTCTGTCTTACCCAACAGAGCTTAGCTTCACAGCCACCTGTGAAGCCATCCTTGGCAGTTAAAATGGAAAGTAATTCCTATAATGTTTTACACCACTCATCATGTGGCATGTGTGACTTGCATTATAGTTACTTGTTCAGGCTTATCTTTAGTGGTCTAGTGGGGAATTGTGAGGCTCCCCGGCAAGGATGATGATTTACTTGTGTTTGTATTATCCCCCAGCACCTTTGACGTAAGACTGAAGGTGGAGTTTACAAAGTGAGCAGTTTAGTGACTGGATGAGCTACCTGAGCCAAGATGAAAATGACGCTGGACTGAGCGGGCTCGGGGGGAAGCTTGAAGCCAAGTCTGGAGAAGAGGACAGTAGCAGGGGAGAGGTGGGGAGTGTACCTGGTTCCAGCTTGAGAAGCAGCAGGGCTCGCCCCAGGTTCCTCCAGAGCAGACTTTGGCAGCTGGACCAAGGCTGGTCAGACTGTGGCTTCTCTGTCCCTTTGGTTTGCCTTTGAATTCTAATTTTGCTGAAAAGTCTAAAGTGGAACTAAATTTCTTCCTGAAGGGGCGAGGTGAGGGTAAGGCACATTTCTAGTGAATTCTTAACAAGCCTCTCCTCTCTTTCCCCTAATGAGTCCTGGTCAGCCTCTAGCCGTTAGTCTTTAGTGGAGGGTCTAACAAGTGGTGTCTTTTTCAAATCTGGCCCTTTTTATTTTGGTCTGACTCCCAGCTTAAAGCTCTTGCTTATGCATACTATAGGGAAGTACATGTACCACTCTAAAGAGAATATTCTAGGATGGCCTTTGAGATGTGATTTAAGCTGAAGTCTGAAGGACAAGGTGCCAGCCAAGAGTACTTGGATAGATGGAACAGCAATTGCTAAAGCTGAGGTTGTCGAGAGCTTGGGATGTTAGGAAATGGCTAGGAGACGGGTGGCTGAAGCCTAATGAGTAAGGAGAAATTGGCAGGAGGCAGACCATGCGTGGCCTTGTAGCTATTGTGAGGACTGGGATCTGTCCTTGGCACAATGGGGAGCCTTTAGAGGGTTTTAAGCTGTCAGGGGGCTTAGTCTGATGTTAGGTGGCAATAGTGGAAACTTTAAGAGACTGTGCAGTAAGTAGTCTAGGCAAGAGACGGTTATGGAGAAGTGATTGTAGAACTGAAAGAACTGGCTACAGATTGGATTCAAGGGCAACGTGGGAAGGGAAAGAGGAACAAAGAATGACTCTGGGTAAGTGATGATGAACAGTGGGAGAGGAAGAGGTTTGTGGAAAAATCAAGAATTCTAGTTTGCCATTTTTGCCTTGCTCATGTGAAATGGCTTATTTTTAGCCAATTATTTCAACCTATTAAGAACTTTTGAAAAAATCTTGATTCTCTAATACACTAGTTATCCATCCTAATGTGTTAGTTCCAATTTTTATAAACTGGCTTGTGTATTTTCATCTTAAAGGGTTATCATTAGAGACTTTAATAAGATGCAGATGTTTGTGATAGCCACCTAGTATACCCTATCAAAAAAGGAAATAAAGTTGTTTGGGTGTGACTTATTTTTAATGAACTCAACATGGGCATCTAGTGGTCATCATTTTTTAGATAACTGGTCAGACAACATGTTCAGTGTGCCCTTTTTCAATTTTGTTGACTTACTAACTAACCTCTCTGACTTGAAAATTGGAGCTTTTGCTGAGCTCGTCTAGCAACCTTCTGTTTGTAATGTTTTCTCAAAGATTATTGACAACAATTCTTCAGATTTTTTTGGTATAATTTGCTTGAATTAGATCACTTGAATTAACTCAAAAGGGGCTCAAATTTGATCAACCAAAGGCTCAGATTCATATTGTAAGTTGGTGGTGGCCTAGCTGTTCTGTTTTGGAGATAGATAGGTGTTATTCACGAGCAGACCTTAACTTCTTAAGAGGTTTGTTTGGTTGGCATGGAGGACAGTGGCCCAGTCTTTGGGGGTACTATAAGTGGTTAAGTGGAGCATGACTGGATACAGACAGGCCTGAGTTGTGTCGGATTTCACCTCTGCCACTAATTAGCAGTATGACTTGGCAATTTATCTATCCTGGCCAACCATTAATTTAGGGGTACTATAAGTGGTTAAGTGGAGCATGACTGGATACAGACAGGCCTGAGTTGTGTCGGATTTCACCTCTGCCACTAATTAGCAGTATGACTTGGCAATTTATCTATCCTGGCCAACCATTAATTTCCGCATCTGTAAAATGAGCGTCTCAGTTGAGTATCAAATGAAGCCTTTAATGAGATGCCTGGCCCTTGGTAACCATCTCTTCCATACGGCCATTGTTATTCTCTTAAGAGTTTGCTGGGTGGGGCTAATGGGCACACCAGGGAACCTAGAAAGTAACTTGTTTGGTCTCCTAGGGCAAGGCAGAAGCACTGGGTACAGACACCCTGGCCCCAAACCCCTCTGTTTCAGAAGGAGTTGCTGGGCACTTGAGGCTGGAGTGAACATTTTGACCTTTGGCCTAGTGAGAGTAAGAGCATTTCCTTACTTTGTGTTTAGACGAGACCTAGGCGAATTATAGAGGATGGTGGATTTCTTAGGTAGGCAGTAGAGAATGAAAGAGGAGACACCTGGCTCTTTCCTGACCTTGAGGGCAGACTCCAAGGGGCCTCATGCTGCCATCCTCACAGAAGAGCAAGGTGTAGGGCTTCAGAAGGGAGATAGCAGTGGCAGGGTGGGGAGGGGTGTTCTTAGAAAAGCAGGGCAGATCCTGCCTCCCTGGATATAAGGCCACAAGGCCTTGGAGATTTCCTCAACCTGTCCCCCACCCTCAGAGCTATGGTTTTCCTGAGAGCTGATCTCTACTACTTCTGGGGGTGGGGCTCTGGCAGGCGACCAGGAGGACAGGTGACAGAGTGCAGATTCTTTTCCCTGCTATGCTAGGGCTGGGGCTGCACTTGGAGGTGGTGCCTGGAATACAGGTGAGTGCACTGGGCTTCTGTGGCCTGAGGCTTTGAACTCTTGCAGAACAGGGACTCTTGACAATGTTGGCTGGATGAGAGCGGCTGAGTGAATATTTCAGGGCAGGAGAAGCCCAAGTTTTTCCTGGGGCCGAATGGGAATAAATGAGGTGGAGTGGGAGTAGAGGATTAAAAAGGCCATTTTGCCTGACTGTTTCTCATCATAGTAGGGATTGGCATGAGATGACTTGACTGGAGGGTGGATGCTGGGATCTTGGGCTGAGATGGTTCTTACCAGAAGCCTAGGGAGCAGGTAAAATTGTGGAGAATGGAGGGAAAGTGTCCATAAGACCATGTAGAGGACCCAGCAAATGGTGAGGTCCCTGAATGGTGTCCGCTTTTATTATTCCCGTGACATCACTATGCTTCCTTAGGGGCCTGGGTGGAGGAGCAAGGCATGAAGGTCTCATCATCCATGAGTGCCTGATGCAGGCCTGATGTCCTCACCTCAGCCCCTGATGAGGCAAGGGCAGAGCAGGTGTGGCCACAGTGATGGCATAGGCTTTGCTCAGGAATCTGGTGGCAGTGTGCCCAGCACCATGCACCTACCTGGCCTTGGGCAGTGTACTGGACTGTGTGGGCTTCTACCACATGTTCAGCCTCCCTCCAAGGCCTCCTGATGCAGTCTGGCTCTTGGAGCTGAGCCACTCAGTTACAATCTCAGTTACCTAGCTAGTGACTCCTAGGGTTTGTGGGGACTGGGTGCTGCTGCTTTTTCACAATGCTCTGGGGGATCCGGCTGGTGGAGCCCTAGAGGGCCTGGGTTTCCTGGACCACAACTAGCTGGCTCACCAATCCCCAGACTTCTCGGCCACCCAGGCTCTCTGCTCTGCCTGGACCTTTCTCACAACCTGCTTGTCACCCTGGGCCCCTGAAGCCTGTGGGGTCTGGGGAGCCTGGGGCAACTTGACCTGAGCCATAATTATCTGGCTGAGCTGGGCACCACTGGGCTCGGGAGCCACTCCCACCTATGCCGGTTCTCACTGTCTTGGAACTGGCTGCAGTGAGTTGGAGGTGTGGTCCTAGCTACCATGCCAGGCCTGGAGGTACTCTCTCTAGCTGGGAAGGACATCAGTGAGCTGGAAGCTGAAGCCTTTGTGGTTTTGCAGGCACTGGGCCTCCTCTTCTAGGTAAATAGCTGCAACACCTCCAGTTCAAAGTGATGGTGGCATCCAAACAGCAGGTACGCAGCTTCTGCTGGCCTATAACCCCTGGGTATGGGACTGTGACCTGCAACAGGCCTTTGGAAGCTGGACCAGCTGTGGCACTTGTGTGTCACCAACCTGGGCAGCCTGACATGCTGGCCCCGGGTGGGCAGCAGGGGTGGTGCTGAGCAGTGTGAAAGCCTGGCTCTATCTGGCTGAAACAGCTACTGTGCTGGGTATAACAAGCACAGGTGGGACCACAGAGAAACTGGGAAGCAGGAGAGCCCTCTGGGGAGGGAGGGGGTGCTGCAGAGGGAATTTAAAGCAGCTGGAGGAGGGAGAGCAGATGGAGCTGCGGCAGAGAAAAATGGATGTTCTCAGGAAGTCTTTAGGGCTCAGATGTGGGCCCAGGCAGGGATGGGAGGAAGCGTAATGGGTTGGGGTGGGGGGACAAAGACTATGTTAATCTCTCAGGGTTTAGGGTTCTCTAGTGCCCTGCCACCTCACCTATTCCCTTCCTCTGCACAATGCCCAGCAATTTTCCCAACTATTGAAAGAGGGATTTGGCCCCTACTCAACACCCCTCTGGGTAAGAGGCTGAAACTAGGGGGAATTGGGTGGCATGGGCACCAAGGAAAACTTCGTTAATTCTAATCTCCCTTCTCACACATGTCCCTAGGATCTGCTTGGGGGACTTGATTAGAAGCTGGTTGCTCAAGTTATGGGGGTGGGTTGGGGCAGGGGTATTGTTCCCATGGGCACAACCCACGCAGACTCCTAAAACTATCTTCAGGACATACACGATCCCAGTTCTGGTCCTCTTTAACACCTTAGCTCCTTCCTGAGGGCAGTGCATCTTGTCCCATTTGAATCAGGGATGGGTGAGGAGATTGGGAAAATAAAACCAACTGGAAAGCTGGTTTGTACTATGTGCTTACTATGTGGTTGTCGTTGGCAGGCAGGGGAGGTAGGCAAAGTGACTTTAACCCACGCGTTTTCTCATTTCCCTTGCTGAGAAGACCCCTCCCACCCCCAGCTGGGCTGTACAATCCCATTCTCTAGTTTTTGCATGGATGCGCCCTCTATTTTGTTCTTTCTGATATGCCCAGACTTTATCCTAGTCATTCTGTAAAAAATTAGGTGAAAAGGTGTTCTGTTGCTGGGTTCCCCTGGCTGATGGGGAATTTTTAATTTACATTGTCACAAGTGCTGTTTGAACATGACTCCCTCTCCCCTACCCAGGAAACTGATCTGAACTATATAACCTAGTGAGAGTGCTTGTAGAGTCTAACTTCAATATTGAAGATGAATTTGTGTGTTGCAGGATGGTGGGGGTGCAGGGAGATAGATGGGGTCGTTTTTGGTGGCAATACCACAGTGCCCAGAGCTTTTGCCCATTTATCCAACTAATTACTGAATACCTACTCTGAACAAGACATAGTAACAACACTTTTTCATTTATTTATCTATTCAACACATACTTCCTGAATGCATCCTGTATACTAAGACCTGAGGATATAATAGTGAACAGAAACCAGACACCAACCTTGCCCTTATGGAGCTCATAATCTAGTGTTAATCTAGTCATTAACAAAAGAATCACATATATAATTGCCAGTGTGCCAAGTGATTCAAAAGGAGGGTATCTGATGGTTATAAGAACATAAAATAGAGCTGAGAACAAATGAAGAGGCCAAAGAAGTGGGGAGACCATTTGAATGCCTGCTGCAGTTTAACTGACAAGATTGTAGTTAGGGCTACAGTGGGAATATTGGTGCTGGAGGAAATAGATTTGAGATGTCCACCTCAGATCCCTTATTTCTCAGGGGACAGAAGAAAGGTGGACCAAGACCAAACTTTGATAACAGGTGGATCTTAGGGGAACCCTTTACTTTGAGCTTAAACATAAGCAGCGGGATTTTCTCTCGTTTTGCGTATGTGTGTGTGCATGTGTACAATTTATTGAAGCCCCACTGTGTGCTAGTACCAACACTGTCATATTTAAACCATATAATCCTGTGAGGTAGATGTCACCACCATTTTCAAAGATGAGTCTTGTGAAATGTAAGTGATATGCCCCAAACCGCAGGATTTGAGTTAGGATTGAATCCCAGGTCTGTGCATTGAAAGATGAATTTGCTTCATTCCATCAAGTTATGGCCCAGGGCTTTTGATGTCCTGAATCCACTGTCCTTCCTCCAGACTAGTTTTTAATTTTGCAGCTATAAGGAGGGCCCTTTAAGCCTCCATTGTCCGAGGGAGAAGCTGAACCCTGCTAGAACTGCAGCTGTAAATCCTCGGTCCAGAACTAGAGCGAGAACGTTGTTTCCCATCGGAAGGAGAAAAAAAAAGCACGGAACTCGGAAGTTGCGTGTCTCCCTCGGCGTCGGCCTTCCTGACCCGGTGAGGCCGCAGTTGCCCTTCCCCAAGATGGCGTCGAAGATAGGTTCGCGAAGGTGGATGCTGCAGCTGATCATGCAGTTGGGTTCAGTGTTGCTCACACGCAAAAAAAAAGCACGGAACTCGGAAGTTGCGTGTCTCCCTCGGCGTCGGCCTTCCTGACCCGGTGAGGCCGCAGTTGCCCTTCCCCAAGATGGCGTCGAAGATAGGTTCGCGAAGGTGGATGCTGCAGCTGATCATGCAGTTGGGTTCAGTGTTGCTCACACGCTGCCCTTTCTGGAGCTGCTTCAGTCAGCTCATGTTGTATGCTGAGAGGGCCGAGGCGCGCCGGTGAGCTGGCCCATGCGGCTGCCGAAAGCGGTGGGGGGCGGTACGGCCCGTCCCAGGAGCGGAGGTGTGAGGTGGGGGAAGAAGTTGAGGCCCAGAAGTTGGAACCTTTGGACTGGGAGGAATTGTGACCTCCGACTTGTTAGGAGCTCCGGTCCGGAGCAAGGTGGGCACCAAGCATAGTGCAGGGGGCCTGACCATGAGATGGAAGTTCAGTTTGGGGGAGCACTGGAGCTTGACGGAACTCAAGGGGTCTCAAGGCTCTTCTGCCCCCATTATTCTGTCCTTGCTTCTCCCCTCCCGGCTTGCAGGAAGCCCGACATCCCAGTGCCCTACCTGTACTTCGACATGGGGGCAGCAGTGTTGTGCGCTAGCTTCATGTCCTTTGGAGTGAAGCGGCGCTGGTTCGCGCTTGGGGCCGCACTCCAGCTGGCCATTAGCACCTACGCCGCCTACATCGGGGGCCACGTACACTACGCGGACTGGCTGAAGGTGAGCGTCTCGGCTGTGGGCGGGACTTTGCTAGGGGAATGGGGAGCCCGAGGCCAATGCCCGGGGCAGTTGGGCTGTGCATGGTGTTAGCCAGGTGCACAGTAAGAAGCCTGGGAAGGCAGAACCCCGCAGGCTTGTGGACGTTATTACAGACCGCAAAAATGGAAGGGCCTTAGAGACCACACAAGTCTTTCTTTCAGAGTGTGGAAACAGGTCCAGAGATGAGAAACAGACTCCTAAAGTCACACCGTATTTAGCATTACAGGTGGCACTCAGTTACCTGGTCCCAGAATCCTTAAATCATTAGTTTGGTAATCTCAGACTCATAGAGCAAAAGGGACCTTGGAGAGTACCAGGTCCAACCATCTAATTTTATGAAATTTAATTAATCATACACAGCATGTAAGCCTGTAAGTGCCAGAACCTGTGCTAGGCACTGCAGGCTTGGGGATAAGCCTGGACAGAGGCACTGCTCTCAAGGAATGGACTGTCAGTCCAGTAGGGAAGGCACATGTTTGAACAGGTACAGGACAGTGATCAATAGGTTTTTTATGGGACAGACTCTACAATATAGCAGAAGGACACTGGGGTTCCACTCTGCTCACCTGAGGGTCGGGAGGGGGACAGTGCTTGGTATCTGGTTTCTGCCACTGACTTTCTGTAGGACCTTGAACAATTTTATTAACCCTTCTGGGCCTCAGTTTCTACTTCTGATAAAAATAATTGTCTATCTCTGCTGTACCTGCTCACCACACTTGGAAAGGGTAAGAGGGTTCACCAGGTGGAATGGGGTGTGTAGAGATAGGCAGTTCTAGACTCTGGACAGCCAGGAGAAATGTGGTGGTTGAATTCCTGACTGGGGCTCCCTCACCTTGGCCTAGGTCCGTATGTACTCACGCACAGTTGCCATCATTGGTGGCTTTCTTGTGCTGGCCAGCGGCGCTGGGGAGCTGTACCGACGGAAACCCCGCAGCCGCTCCCTCCAGTCTACCGGCCAGGTGTTCCTGGGCATCTACCTCATCTGTGTGGTAGGTTGGGGGACTGTTGGCTGGAGGTGCTTGACTGGGAGTGAAATGTGAGCCCATGTCTGGCAGAATTTAGGGAGGTAGGCATTACAAAGCCTTGCATGTAGTTCCTGATGGCCTGGCTCCTGGGAATCACCCCACCCAGCTTCTGGGCCTCAGGGACCCTTCACATGCCTGAGACTTGGCAGGGAGTTCCTTCTTCCAGCATGACTGCCATCAGGGAGAGAAGAGGTTGGACTGACCATACAGTCCCCAAACTCAGAGCCAGGAGAACAAGATGGATTGGTCCTCTCATGGCTCCAGCACCTAGAGGACTGGGGGAGGGGACAAAGGAGAGGTTTGGTGGGGTTTCAGGCCCACACTGGAACTCTGCCACTTAGAGGATGGGGGCTGCATAGAGTAGCCAGTTACAGTCTTCTCTGGTGCTGGGGGAGGCTAGTATGGCTGGGGACATGGATAGCCAGGTCACTTGGCTTCATCTTAATTACTGGCCCCGTATTGCATGTGTAGAGCTCTGTATTCAGAGACTAGAGCTCCAGTCTGACTGTGGAGACATCCCTCCTCCCTCTGAACGCCTAGGGTGAGGAGAGATAGGCCTTAACCTCATGCAGCCTCCCTAGTCCGCAGGGGGGAAACGCAGGCCCTACTTTCCGAGAGCCCTACATCTGAGAGGGGAACCCAAAGCCCTCCTTGCAGAGGCTGACTTGCAGTTGCCATCTCAGCATGTAGCTTAGCTTTTCCTCTCCATTTGGTGCCAGCTCTTTTTGAAGAAACCCTGGGTGAGGGGTGGCCTTCCTCAGACAGGCTCCTCAGTCTGTTGGAGAGTCTTAGAGGCTGGTGTGTCTCTAGGCCTACTCACTGCAGCACAGCAAGGAGGACCGGCTGGCATACCTGAACCATCTCCCAGGAGGGGAGCTGATGGTCCAGCTGTTCTTCATATTGTACGGTGTCCTGGCCCTGGCCTTCCTGTCAGGCTACTACGTGACCCTGGCTTCCCAAATCCTGGCTGTACTGCTGCCCCCAGTCATGCTGCTTATTGATGGCAACGTTGCCTACTGGCACAACACGCGACGCGTTGAGTTCTGGAACCAAATGAAGCTCCTTGGAGAGAGTGTGGGCATCTTCGGGGCTGCTATCATCCTGGCCACTGATGGCTGAGTTGCATGGCAAGAGGGTGAGATGGGTGCAGGGAACCACAAGTTCACCCTGCCTTCCTCCTTGCTGGCCCAGTTATGTTTGTTTATGTTTTTTGGTCTGTTTGATTCTTTGCTTTTTGTGTATTGGTTAAGAGGCAGGTTTCTTCCCCAGGTCCTGGGCTCAGCCCTTGTGGGGTGGGACCTCTGATGATGCCTTGCAGGGTTGTTTTTTTTTCTCCTGTTTGTTAGGAGAGAACAGGAAGCCAGCTGCTCCCCTGGGTCTTCTGTCCCAGAGAAGGGAGTGTGGCAGTGCTAGGGCAGGGGTACTGAGAGTGGGAGACTGAGGAAGGAAGACCAAGAACCCCACGTGAGCAGACATGGAAATTCCTTTTTGAACCTGGCAGATGTAGCTAGGCTCTGCAGTGCTGCTTGGAGGCTGAGAGTGAGTATGTGATTGACAAATGGATCAGACTCAGGAGGAACAGAGGGGCTGGGCACCACAGAAGTCATGTGGGTTCTCAGGGTATGCCAGGGACAGAAACAGCACTAGCTGCTGCCCACCTCGAGAGTAGAGCGGGCCCCAGTCTACTCGGGTGTGCAGGGGTGGGGCAGGTAGTGGCCAGCTTCCTGCCTCCTGCCTCCTGCTTCTAACTCCATGGTTGGCCTGGTGGGGCTGAGGGCTCTCCCAAACACCAGACCACACAGTCCTCCAAAAATAAACATTTTATATAGTCACTGGTCTTTGCATCTCTGTTCTTCCCACAGAGCACTTTGCCATTGGCTAGAATTGATCTTGGGTTTCTTGAAAGACCATATCTGGTTAAGCCCCACCTTGGTCCTCCTGTGACCTTTCCCCCATTCTGAGAATTCCCAGTCTTCCAGTCCCCTTTTCAAGAATCTCCTGAAGATCCCTGTAGTCTGTTTTTGACCTCTCACCTCAGTCCCTTTTGTGTAGCTTGTCTTTCCTTCTCCATTTGGTGGCAGCTCATTTTGAAGAAACCCTTGGTAAGGGCATCTAGAGGGGCAGAGCTAACATTAAGTGTCCACTATGTGGGCAGGCTTTTACAATTTGCAGATGGGGAAATGGAGGCTAGAGAAGATGAGCAGCTTGCCTCGAACCACAGAGCAAACCCAGCCACAGAGCTGAAGCAGATCATTAGACAGGTCTGTCTAATACCCGCGCCAGGATGTGTACTTGATGCCATCCCTCTCCTGAGCAAAGACAGAAGCTGTTCTTAGGGTTTGGTTCTGTCAGAGCCCCTGGTGTGCCACAGTGGTCTCCTAATTGGTGCTCTTCCTATGTGTCTATGCATAGGAAGAGAAGATGGCCCCAGCAGCCAGTATGGTGCCTGGCACATTGTGGCAGTCAAAAATGTCAAAAGAAACCTCTGGCTTTGGACTCTTGGCCATCTGAGGTGTTCTGCAAAGACGTAGACACAACCTCCAGTCAAGTCTGGGCCTGGCTCTGAGCCCTGCCTGGACAGGGAGTGGGGACTGCTGTTGGTCTGGTCTGTTTCCTAGCTTAAGAGTAGAGGAGCCCCCTCTGGGGGTTGCTGACATGCAGGTGAGGGAGATGGTGGCAGCTTTATCCTGAAGGCCCTCCATCTCATTCAGCTCCTTTATTCTCTCTGAGAGTCCTCTGGTTCCCAGAGGGTCACAGCTAATTTCCTTTCAAGTGTGAGCTGACTCTCAGACAAGTATTTGTGTTTTAATCAAGGCCTCCTGAAAAGTTGCAAGCCCCAAAGGAATTAGAACGAGTGGTGGAATATCAGGCAGACAGGGGTGATATTTTGGGCAAGGGAGCCTCAAAATCACACAGAGGCCACAGAAACTGGCCCACCCTTATGGTTAACCCTGAATAGAGCCCTCAAATGCAAGCCCTCCTTCCCTTCCCCCTCTCCCTCCCTCTCCGTGCAATCCCAGATCCCTAGACTGAAAATTGAAGGCCATTTGGTTGTGGCTTTGGAGCAACTGGGGGGATCTTGAGCAGGCCCTTCTCCTTCCTGTGCTTGTCCCCACTTGGGTGCCCCCTCTGGGAAGAGTAATGTGTCTTCCTCCTCTGCAGATCACTCAGCCAACAAGCCTGGTCCAGCCTGTGGCTGCCTGGGGTCACCTCCAGCAGGCATGACTTTTGGTCCACCCTGGCTGCCCCAGGGCCTGCAGGGCTGGTGGTGAGGGTCAGCTGCCTGGGTCAGAAGCTGGCTTGCAGAAGGAGTCCGGCAGCCCCTTGGCATGGTTGACCAGCTCATAAGAGTCTCGGATATCAGCCAGACCAAACCAGAAGAAGATCCACTGCTTGTTGGAGAAGCTGCCGTCACTGTGTTTGAAGTACCTGGTTGGCGGGTGGGGGAATGGTTTTAGGGCAAGGCCAATGTTCACTACTCTCTGGTTCATTTATTGACCTACTGCACACTAGACACCCTGTTAGGACTTGCTGTGTGTCATCTGATTTTATCCTCCCAGCAACAGCTAAGAGCCTGGTGGTGTATGCTCTTCACAGAGAAGTAGCTAAAGCTCAGAGAAGTTAGGTAGCTGGCCAGAGTCACGCAGCTGGGAAGGTTTGAGTGAGGATGTCCCTTGCTCTCTCCACAATGCATTGGCTGTGCAGTCAGGGGAGGGACTCTTGTTCACCTCCTGGCCCCTACAGAGCAGGCTAGTTGGGAGTAAGGGGATAAGTTGCATAAAAGGCGAGGGAGTGTTCTCTGGAGATGCAGTGCACCTGGGACCAGAGCTTGGCAATTGGGCCTGGACTGAAGCCTGAAGGGTCAGGATTCTGGGGACCTATGGAGAGGCGGGCTGTATGGCCTTCAAAGGAACCATTGCAGGGCAGAAGGGGCTTAAGTGTTCTCTGTCTCTGAAGAGATCTCAGGCTCCTGTGTGGTCTGTTCCCGGAGGAATGCCGGGCCAAACTGAAGGGAGCCTTTCCCTTGGGGAAAGAGGGCTAATGAAAGAATGGGAAGTGCAGCCTTCCTGGCTGGTGGACCCCGGGGCATGGCTGGCGGCAGCGGGGTGGGGGCAGCCCAGAGCTGCGAGGGGAGGGACCTACCAGGGATTGATGGGATTGGTGACCCGGGAGCGCCAGAAAAGCGTCTGCAGGTCTCGCCGCAGGCACTCCCACAGCATCTGGCCGGAGCCTTGACCCTGGCGGCTGGAGCTCACCACAAACTTGTCTAGATATGGAGTACCCTCCAGTACGGGCTCCGTGGTCAGAATGGCGGCTGCGTTGTACCTGGGCGCAGTGGGGGAGAGGCAGGCTGGGACCTCTCCTTGTCCCGAAGCTGCCCGGTTCTGTCCATGGGTCCCTGCCCTCGGGACCCGAAGGCTCACCCCTCAGAGACGTAGACAGAGTGCAGCCGCGGGCGCAGCGAAGCCAAATAGTCGCCTCGGAGCTCCTTGCCGAAGCTGACGTTGACCAGGTTCACTAGGCGGCTCTGGTCCAGGCTGTCCAGGCTGCGCACTCGCAGCATCCGCTCGGCGTTCTTGAACAGGGTCCCGGACCCTGGGGGTGGGACGGAGGAGCGTAGAGGTTAGTTTAGACCGAGAGGCAGGTCCTCCCATGCGTCGATTTGTGCGGCCTGGTGGGAGTTTGTTCCAGATAGAACGGGCTGGTGGGACAGTGACCCTCTGGGAGAGCTCCATGAGACCATGTCTGTGGTCTGCAGAGATTTGTGCTTGGCTTTCATTCAGGGTGATGCTTTTCCCAGGCAGTTTGTCCCTCAAGTTCCACCCATCGCCTGGAGTCCCATCTACTTTCTCTAGTCCCGCCTATCCCCTGCCACCCCCGACCCTGTCTCCGCGCCCTTAGTCCCCCCCACTCATCCAAATCCCGCCCGCTTCTCCCAGCCTTGTGCCCTCCGTGGCTGTCCCATCTGTCTAGTTCTGCTGGAGTACTAGCCCGTCCACCTCCTTGCTGACTTCCGCCAGGTTTGGGGAGAGCAGGAAGCCTTTGCTGCAGCGTCAGCCTGCGGCCTCCTGGTTGGCGAGAAGCTGTTTCTCCTGTCCCCTTCCCAGGAGTGGCGGGCGCTCACTCCGAGGACCCAGCCCCAGCACCCCGCAGCCCCATCCGGGCCCTCACCCTTGTTGCTGAAGAGTTCCGTGAGCAGCGTGCTAGCGGCAGTGATGACAGCCGAGGAGTGGTGGGGCAGGCGGCTGAGCACGTCTACGATGAGCCGCATCTGCTGCCGTTCTTTGGTGCGCACCCACTCGGCGCTGCTCACCAGGTCCAAGTCGGCAGGCAGGTTCACATTACTCAGGACCTGCGTCCGGGGCCGGGGTGGTGAGCCTCTGGGCCGCAGCCCACCTGGACTGCGCCCCTGCCTCCCGGACCTCTTCGCACTAACCCCTTTACCCTTACTTCCTCCTGGAGCCCTCGGCCAGGGGAGCTCAGATCTGGGCACTATGGGCTGAACCCCTTCCTGATACTCCATTCCCGATCCACCCGGCTTGAGAGTGACTCTGGGGCCCGTCACGAAGGTGTAGAGGGACCGCAAAGAGGGGCTCAGGGCCGGAGTCGCGGGGAGTGGGGCCCAAAGGAGGGGACACACCTTGTGGCTGCTGTCGCGCAGGCCGCCTGTGGTATTCAGAAAGATGATTTTGGTGGGCTGCAGCGCCTTGGCCAGCGCCGCGGTCACCTCCAGGGAGTCCAGGAGCACAGAGCGGCGCGCGGTCGTCTCCCCGATGGGGCACAGGATGGGGATGCTGCCCGACTCCAGGCACCACTGTAGCAGGTCGGTCTCCACCGAGACTATGCCACCATAGCTGTGGGCAAGATGTGGGGCTCAAGAGGCTCCCTCCAGGACTGTGGGGCTGGGGCAGGGTGGGTGAAGTAGTGAGATCTGGGGACGCCGGGGCAGACAGGGCCAGTACTAACCTGGCATGAGGGGCTGGCTCAGCAGCGCCCAGCACCGAACCGCCGCCAAAAAAAGGTACGGCAGTGGCGGCATTGTGCCGCAGCTCGTCCACCAGGACCTTACAGCACTGGGCAAGCTGTGCCTTGGCCTCCCAAAAGGAAAGACAGCCCGAGGGAGCCGTGGGATTGGGCAGCCCCAGCACCACCAGCGGCTTCATGTCCATGCGCTGCAGGAAGGCCAGGGCAAAGGCCAGGCTGGATACCGACTGCCGGCACTTGAGAACCTCCTCGTCCACCTGCGGAAGAGTGAGCGCTCAGGAGGTGAGACCCCTTAGGGCCCCCACCCTGCCCGGGAGCTGTCAGGCCCCATTTCTGGACACTGGCGCCTACCTGCTCTGACCTTTGCCCGTTGGGGCTTGCCATCCCCTTAGCTCACACTAACGTTCTTGCCTCTGCTCCTCCCTGCGTCCTTGGACTCTAGGACACGTTTGGGGGAGGGGTGACGCAAGCGGCTTCCGACCAGGTTCCCCATTTGCCGTCTAAATCCCTAACTGCGCCCACGGTAGGGCGCATCACACTTCTCCGGCGCATCACACTTCTCCAGCGCATCACACTTGGCAGGTTAGGGGCCCCAGGCTCCTCATTCCCTCTGGGCGTGAGACTTGGAAGAGCGCTCAGCCTCGTCGACTCCCGGGCAGTCGTCCGGGCTCTATAGAGCCCCTTCCCGTTTTCGGGGCGCAGAGACCGCAGCTGGGCCTACCATGCCTGGCGACATGCCACACAATTCCCAGCCCCTCGCAGTGACCGGCCTTTGATTACCTCGATGACAGCGAAGGGCTTGTCTCCAAAGTGATGGCAGGTCTGGAACTGCGAGAGCCAGTGGCGCGCCTCCCCGGGGCTGGCCCCGCACTGGTTTAGGAAGGCCTGGATGTCCCGCTGCACCAGCGAGCGGCCGGCCACTCGCCCAGGGGGACCGGGGGGCACCGGGGGCACGGGGGGCTCTGTCCACGGCGGCTCCTTCGTGGCAGGTGAGTGGGCATCGTCTTCAGCACTCTGGGCCTCCTCCCGTGCGGGCTGGGCCGGCGCCCAGGCGGTGCTGAGCCAGCGTCCCGGGCTGGCGCCCCTGGCCACCCGCCGCTGTGCGCTGCTGCTCAGCCCCCGGGCGCCCTCAGTGCCTCTCGGGCCGCGCAGCCTCCCGCCTGCTGCAGCCCGCAGGGTCCAGGCCAACAGTGTCGTCGCCATGACAACCAAACTTGCTCGCCCCCCCTCGAGTGACCGTCTGTTGTGAGCTCCCGGCTCTGGGGGCTCTTAACCTGCCCCGGGGCAGGGTTGGGCCTGCCAGGGGCGGGGCGCGGCCGGGGGCGCGGAGGGAGTTTGAGGAGGGTCAGGCCATAGGGCAGAGGGCGCGGTCAACAAGATCCCCCGCCCCGCTGGGGCCCGAGCCCGCTAGCCCGGGTCACGAGGTTGAGATAAAGGGTGGCCGTCAGTCTTTCATCTGCTGCCAAGGCCCGCCCCAGAAAGGGCTCAGGGGACCCAGGGTGGCTTTGGCAGTCCGCCGAGAATCTAACAGGGCAAAAAGGGAAAGCAGGTGGCAGTTACCGTGGGACTGAGGAGGAGACAGGAAGGCGAGGTGGAGGAATGCCAGCCCGCTGGTGTGGAGTGTGCTCTGTCCTGTTGCCTGAGCTCAGAGAAGATGCGGAGCATGAGCTCACCAGGTTTGCCACACTCCAGACACTGGGTACCGCCTTGAAGAATTTTGTCAGATCTTCAAATCTCATTAGTATTAAAGTTTTTCTTTAAGCTTTAAATTTACAGTTTACCCATATCAATATTGTAACTAGAAGGCCAGTATCACTTGCCATGACAGAAGAGAGCCTAAAGAATAAAGCCAGAACAAAATGTTACTAAATTCCAGCTGGACAGTGTTGCCTGCTCTCTTGGTAACATAGAAGGTTAGCAGGTGCCAGATGTTAGAGATACCCAAGTACCCTGTAAAGCTTTCTCCTGGGTAAAATAGTAGCTGACACATGTAGAATGTTAGCTGCTGTACAAAGCACTTCACAACTAGGAACTCATTTAATCCTCACAATGACTCCAGGATGGGTATTATTATACCCATTATTATCATACCCATTTTATATATAGGAAAATTGAGGCACAGAAATATGTGGGGCCAAGGTCATTCAGCTGGTCTTTGAAGCAAAGCAGTTCTGCTCCAGACCATGATCTTCAGCAAGATTTGAAAAGGACTTAAAGACCTTCACAGGATGTAATTCATGGTTAATACTGTAGCCACGTGCTGCCTAAAAGCACCTGCTGCTCCATCAGTTGTACACATCCCATCTGTTGTTATAGAGTCCCACGTCTGTTGTTATAGGGGAGGAAACCAACTCTAGAGGTTCTATGACTTGACCAAGATCGCACAGCTTGTTTGCATCATGGCCAGATCTTAGGCATCCTAAATTCCCACCCCTTGCTCTCTCCTTCCTTATGTGCAGCTCTGTGCTCCCAGTGCTGGGAGTCAGGACTCCTGGGGCTCTCTCTGAATGGGGAGCAGTGACCTGGGCTTCTCCTCTCTTGTGTATCCCAGAGGATGCTGGGTGAGTGCACCAACTCCTTCCTAGGATCCCCCACCAACGCACATGCACATACCACTGTCCCAGGAAGGAGACTCCTGGCAGAGGGTGAGGGGAGCTGACTTTTGTGATCTCCTCCATTGACTTTTCCATTTTCCTACTTAGAAATTTAGGGTTCCAACGGAGAGCAAAGCAATGGCATAGAGGGTCTATACCCCCAGCCCTGTGGGACCACCTCCAGGGTCTTGTTTCTCTTCCCTCTTTACTGCTGCACCCACTTCCCAGAATCCACCAGAGGAGGTGGTCTCATCCCTGGGCCCTGATCATTTTCCTCCCCTCTGCCCTCAGAGTCCCCAGCCTGAAATGTGCTTCCCTTTCCATGTCTCTCTATCCAAACCCCTTATTAGAGTGCCCACCTTCCCTGGCCCCTATCCACTCCAGGATTCCTCCTTGGCTCTCCACCTTTGCTGCTCTGGATCTCTGCCCTGGACCTGGCCTTTTTTTACTCCTTCCAACCCAGTACATCCTTTCCATGTCCTTTCCCCCAGCTGCTGCTAGGTCCTGCTCCCTGCCAACTGCCTCCTGTGAGGGCTAGGAGAGCCTCTCCGTTCAGACTGGGGCTCCCTGAGGGCAGGGCTGATCTCTCCCTTCTCAGACTGGGGGTGTCATGAGGGCCCACCCTTTTCAGTAGCCAACAGTGTCAGCCACATGTTCCTTGGGCCAGTGGGGCAGACACTGGCTGGGGAGCTGCTTCCCATCCTTTGGGCTTTAGCCCAGAGGGCTGTGTCCCCAGGCAGCCAATAGGGCCCAGGGATAACCTGAGTGGATGATTAACTCCAGGCCCAGTGACCCTGGGGCCATTGTGGCCCCACTGCCTCTCCCTGGGGTAAGGCTAGCCTCTGGTTGGAGAACTAGCCTGCTTTCTGGAGGAGATGAGTGTAGGTCTATGGGGTCAACACTCCTACTTGAGCAAACCTCTCTGAAGTGAAAGCCTACAGGATCACTGTTGGTCTGTGGTTCCAGCTCAAATTTTCTTTTTTACCATTGAAGCTGGCTGTAGTTTTGTTTTGTTTTTCAGAGCAAAGCCTGTTGTCATTGTGCCCAGCACCAGGCTCCTGTCTCCTCCTCAGGCCTTGGGTGTTGGAGATGCTGGGAGCAGACACAATCTTCCAACTCCTCCAGATGCCTCCCCTCAGCAGGGGCCTCAGCCCTGGGCACAGGAGCTGGTTTGCAGGGCTGAGCGTGTTCCTCCCATTGGATCCCTCCTTGGCTGCCACTCAGTGTAGCTAGGCATGGAGGTGACAGGAACCTAGGTAAGTGAGGGGCCAGCACTGACAGCCGACAGCACCTGAGGCACATACACACAGAGTACCCAGATGTAGAGACCCACACTATTGATTGAGATACACACAGATACACAGGTGTGTAAACACACAGGTGTACAGAGAGATGCCAATCCACTCAGACACACATTTGAGAACAGAACTGTGCATGTTTACAGAGGCCCTCTCAGCAGCTATGTCATACATAGGAACATACACACATATACATGAAAAAATATGGGGAACACACATACATACACCCAGCTGTAGCCACTGACAATATGGGATCACTTAGATCTGGAGACATGAAGTACACAGACTTGTGTTCACATACCCGCACACACATACTGCATACAGAGTAAGAAGAAGACACACCCCTCTGAGACCATCCCCACCTACCCACGTACAGAGGCGAGCAGCCGCACATTCACATGTTGCAATGTGTCTGGCACGTGAGAGGAGTTCAGATTATATTTATTGAATGAATGAGTGAAGATGGGACAGAGAGAAAGAAGTGGAGAGCCTGGGTTCATGGTTTCAGGGTCTGGGAGTCTGTGTTCCTGGGGGTGGCCCTGGGAGAGCCCAGGCAGCCCCAGAGTGGCCCTCTCCATTGGTGAGGAGGCAGAGCCCAGTGGGTGCTGTCTCAGAGCTGCACCTGTGGGATGTGACAAGTGGGAGTGGACAAAAGCCTTTTCAGTCAAGCACAGCTTTTTGAGCACATACTATGTGCCAGTATTGAACAAGGTGCTCTGAAGATCTCATTTTTCCTGGCTGGAAGTCAGGAGGACTGGGCTCTGCTGCTTCTTTGGCTGCAAAAGTTTGGGCAAAACATTTAATTTCTCTGAGCTTCAGTTTTTTCACCTGTAAAATGGGGAAAAGAGAATAAAATAGAATCTGATTGCACTGTTGTAAGGATGAAAATTTCCCGGTGGGCACGCAGTCAGCAAAATCCAGACTGTGGGAGACTTTTTAAGACAAACAACTTAGTTTCTTCAACAAATAAATTGCAAAGGAAAGAGTAGGAGAGGAGAGGATGAACATATAGATTAAAAGATGTATTTTTAGAAATATCTTTTAATCCTTATTTGGATTCTGATTCAAACAAACCATAAGAATTTGGACAATCAGGGAAATTTGAGCACAAAGGATATTTGATATTTTATTTTTTTAATTGAAGTATTGTATACAATCTTATATTGGCTTCAAATGTACAACACAGTGGTTCAACAGTTACCCATATTATTAAATCCTCACCCCCTCTACTGCAATTACTATCTGTCAATGTAGATTTAGATCACACATGTAAGTGAGATCATAAAGCATTTGTCTTTCTGTATTTGGCTTATTTCATTTACCATAATATCCTCCACTTCCATGTTGTTGCAAATGGCAGATTTTTTAAAAAGACTGAATACTATTCTATTGTATGGTTATACCACGTTTTCTTTTTTTTTAATAAAGTATGGTTGATATACAATCTTACATTGCTTTCAAATGTACAACACAGTGGTTCAACGGTTACCCATATTATTTAATCTTCACCCCCTCTAGTGCAGTTATTATCTATCAATATAGAAAGATGTTACAGAAGCATTTACTATATTCTCCATGCTGTACTACCACCCCCATGATCAGTTTATACTGTGATTATGAATTATTGTGCCCCTTTATCCCCCTCCACCTCTCTCTCCACCCACCCCAATCCCTCCTCCTTGGTAACCACCAGTCACTTATTAGTGTCTGTGAGTCTACTGCTGTTTTGTTCCTTCTATATTGCTTTGTTTTTATATTCCACAAATAAGGAAAATCATATGGTGTTTGTATTTCTCTGCTTGACTTATAATACACTGAGGATAATACCCTCTAGATCCATCCATGTTGTTGCAAACGGCAGGATTTCTTTTCTTTTTATAGCTGATAATATTCCATTGTGTATATGCCACGTCTTCTTTATCCATTCATCTATTGATGGACACTTAGGTTGCTTGGTATATTAATTTTTGAGGTGTGATATGATTGTGTGTTATGTTTTTAAAACTATTCTATATCTTTTAGTGTACATATAGAATATTTATAGATGAAATGATAAGATGCCTTGAATTTGCTTCAAAATAACCCTGGAGGGGTGAAAGTGGGCTAGGTAACAGCTACAAGACTGGCCATGAGATAGGAGCTAATACTTGTTGAAGTTGGATAATGGGTACAGGAGATTCATTATACTATCTTTTGACTTCTTTGTATGCTTGGATATTTTCAAAATAAAGTGGATTTAATGAATTCTCATACATGCAAGTTCCCAGCCTTAAATAGTTTAAACACAGTGAAAGATATTTTGCTTCATTCAGGTATAGTGTTCTTCCAAGGCATAAATATGTGAAATACTAAATAATCTACAAATACATAGCACAAGGTGTAAGAGGAAGCACCCTGATTTAAGGATTTCAGTTCTGAGTGTGCCATGCGCCTCTTGTCCATCAGGGGGCTCCCTACTCTGCCGCCTTCTGGCTGCTTCCCTCCCGGGGTTTGTTAGAGAAGGAAAAGGCCATCAGCGATGTTAAGAGAGGTGTCGCAGACACACAGACGTATTAGCATCCGATAGAGACCTGAGAAGAATTGTCCATAACCCTCTGATATGAAGGGTCTTCTTCAGTTTACAGTCTCTGGGGTTTGGGGAAAATTTAGGAAAGCCTACTGTCTTCAAGATAATAATAGCAAACTCTTCCTCATGGACTATTCTAAATATATGATACGTGTTAACTTACTTAATTCTCACAGTAACACCATGAGGTAGGCATTGCCATTATCACAAAGATACTAGGAGGCTGATTTTAGACAAGTGGAGGTTAAGTGCTTTCAGGGCACAGGTAGAGCTTCCTAGCACACAAGGGGAAAGGAGGCCTGGAGCTCAGGAGAGGTCAGGAGAGGCCCTGGAGAGGGTGACAGAGGAGGACCCTGAGCATGGGCATGAGCTGCCAGGGAGGGGCTTTAGAAAGGGGAGAGCACAGTGGAAGGGTTGACGGGGTCCAGAGGAGGAGGCACACCAGGAGTCACCTAGAATTCACGGGCAGAGATGTTTCAAGAAGGAAGGAAAAGTCATTGGCTTCTCCCATCTTTTCCATTTCATTGGGTGATAGGGAGGTGGGATGGGGAAGCCTGGTGGTTGTGGGTTGAGGAGGGACCTGGGATTAGACCGCAGCATGGGACTGC